AGGTGTGAGCCTCCGCCTGGCCGGACAATACAGTATTGTTACCAAAATCTCCATGCTGTACATTTAAATCCCTGAATTTTTTCATCTTGTAATTGAAAGTTTATACCCTTTGACTAACGTCTCCCCAGTCTCTCCTCATTCTCCCATTCCCTGGCAACCAAATTTTTCTTTTCTTTTTTTTTCAGATGGAGTCTCATTCTGCACCCAGGCTGGAGTGCAGTGGCAGGATCTTGGCTCCCTGCAGCCTCCGCCTCCTGGGTACAAGGGATTTTTGTGCTTCAGCCTCCTGAGTAGCTAGGATTATAGGCGCCCAACACCATGCCTGGCTAATTTTTGTATTGTTAGAAGAGACGTAGTTTTACCATGTTGGCCAGGCTGTTCTCGAACTCCTGAACTCGTGATCCACCCACCTCAGCCTCCCAAAGTGCTGGGATTGCAGGCGTGAGCCACTGCCCCTGGCCAACATTCTCTTCTTTGCTTCTGTGAGTCAAGGGCTATGTGGTTATGTCAGAGCCCACATATATGTGAGATTATACAAGATTTCCTTCTCTTTTTTAGGCTAAATAATATTCACGTGTATATATCACATTTTCTTCATTCCTAAATGTCCAGGAATATTTAGGTTATTTCCATATCTTGTCTATTATGTTCTAAGAAGTTTGCAATGAACGTGGGATTGCAGATATCTCTTCAAGATACTGACGTCATTTCCTTTGGAAATACACTCAGTAGTGGGATTACTGGATCATGATGGTATTGTTAACGGAAAGGAGTCTGGTCTCCTTTCCTATGCGCTGCTCCATTGAGTATACCTATGGTTATTTATTGATTATATGCTAAATAAGGAGTGGGGTGTCCAGAAGTTTTTCAGGAAAGGGGCAGAGATTTTCTGGAACCTAGCATCCTTCCCTTTTAGACTATCTAGGTAAACTTCCAAACATTGCTGTGACATTTGTACGAAGTCATGGAGCTGATGGGACTGTCTTTTAGCATGCTAGTGCATTATAATTAACCTATAATTAGCAGTGAGGATGACCAGAGGTCACATTTGTCAACATCTTGGATTTGATGGAACTTGATTGGGTTCTTTACCGCATCCTGTTTTACCAGCAAGGTCTTTATGACCTGTATCTTGTGCCAACCTCCTATCTCTTCCTGTGACTAAGAATGCCTAACCTCCTGGGAATGTAGCCCAGCAAGAAAATTAAAACTGCCCTTTCTCCATTGAAGGTTGTTGGCATCACTATGAAAAGCCATTTGATAATATCTGTAAGGGTTTATTTCTGGGCTCTCTATGCTATAACAATGGTCTCCATGTCTAGTTATGCCTATACCACATTGTTTTGATTACTATAGCTTTGTAATACTATTTTTCCTGCTTTTTTCTTGAGACAGGGTCTCACTCTGTTGCCCAGGCTGGAGTGCAATGGTGCGATCACAGCTCACTGCAGGATCAACTTCCTGGGCTCAAGGGATCCCTCCTACCTCAGCTCCTGAGTAGCTGGGACTACAGGTATGCACCACCATGCCGAGCTATTTTTTATTTTTATTTTTTGTAGAGATGAGATGAAGTCTCCTTAAGTTGCCCAAGCTGGTCTCAAACTCCTGGACTCAAGCAGTTTTCCTGAGTCAGCCTCCCGAATTGTTGGGATTACAGGCTAGTAACTTTTGACATCACAAAGTGTGAATTCTCCAACAATCTTTTTTTTTTTTTTTTTTTTTTTTTTTTTGAGACTAAGTCTCGCTGTTGCCCAGACCAGAGGACAATGGCATGATCTCGGCTCACCACCAAAACCTCCACCTCCCAGGTTCAAACGATTCTTCTGCCTCAGCCTCCTGAGTAGCTGGGATTACAGAAGTCTGCCACTGTGCCTGGCTAATTTTTGTATTTTTAGTAGAGATGGGGTTTTGCCATATTGGCCAAGCTGGTCTCAAACTCCTGACCTCAAATGATCCACCTGCCTTGGCTTCACAGAGTGCTGCCATTACAGGCGTGAGCCACCTTGCCCTACCCAACAAACTTCTTTTTCAAGATTGCTTTCACTGTATGGACTCCAGTGAGATTCCATATGCATGTGGTCTTTTGTAACGTAAACTTCCGCAGTGACTTAATATGACTTTTGCCACATTCTGCTAGGCACAGAGATGAAGCCTGGTACAACGTGAGAGGACTACACAAAGGTATGACTATTGAGAAACAGGAATTATTGGGGGACAATTCAGAGGCTGTATACTACAGAGAAGAAATTGGCAATACCTGAAAACACTACCTGTGCAATCTGGAAACTTCTTTTTTTTTAAATTTTGAGACAGTCTCCCTCTGTTGCCCAGGCTGGTGTGCAATGGCGTGATCTCAACTCACTGCAACCTCCACTTCCTGGGTTCAAGCAACTCTTGTGCCTGTCTCCCTAGTAACTGGGACTACAGGAGCACACCACCACACTCGGTTTTTTGTTTTTGTTTTTTTTTTTTGAGATGGAGTCTCGCTTTGTCGCCCAGGCTGGAGTGCAGTGGCACGATCTTGGCTCACTGCAAGCTCCGCCTCCCAGGTTCACGCCATTCTCCTGCCTCACCCTCCGGAGTAGCTGGGACTACAGGCGCCCACCACCTCGCCCGGCTAATTTTTCATGTTTTTAGTAGAGATGGGGCTTCACCGTGTTAGCCAGGATGGTCTCCATCTCCTGACCTCATGATCCACCCGCCTCGGCCTCCCAAAGTGCTGGGATTACAGGCGTGAGCCACCACGCCCAGCCTAATTTTTTTTAATTTTTAATAAAGACAGGGTTTGGCCATGTCGCCCAGCCTGGTCTCAAACTCCTGAGCTCAGGCAATCTTCCCACCCCAAAGTGTTCAGATTACAAGCGTGAACCACCATGCCCGACCTTTTTCTTTTTTTGAGAAAGTTTTGCTGTGTCCCCCAGGCTGGAATATGCAGTGGCACAATCTGGGCTACCTGCAGCATCCACCTGTCAGGTTCAAGCAATGCTCCCACCTCAACCTCCAGAGTAGCTGGGAACTACAGGCATGAGCCACAACACCCGGCTAATTTTTGCATATTTTTTAGAGATGAGTTCACCTTGTTACTCAGGCTGCTCTCAAACTAAGGAGCTCAAAGTGCTGGGGTTACAGGCACGGGCCACTATGCCTGGCCTTGCAATTCTGCTTTTTCTTTTTTTTCCTTTTTTTTTTCTTTTTGAGATGGAGTTTCGCTCTTGTTGCCCAGGCTGGAGTGCAATGGCACGATCTTGGCTCACCCCAACCTCCGCTTCCCGGGTTCAAGGGATTCTCTTGCCTCAGCCTCCCAAGTAGCTGGGAATACAGGCATGTGTCACCACGCCCTGCTAATTTTTTGTATTTTTAGTAGAGACGGGGTTTCACCATGTTGGCCATGCTGGTCTCAAACTCCTGACCTCAAGTAATCCACCTGCCTTGGCCTCCCAAGTACTGGGATTACAGGCATGAGTCACTGTGCCCAGCCACAATCCTACTTTTAAGAATTTTTTTTTTAAACCAGGTCCAGGATTCAGTCTAAACTTCTAAGAATCTGCCTTGAAGGTAAACCTTTAACAATTCAAAGAAGTTCAAGAGTATTAATTGCAGCACTGTTTGTGATTGCAATATGAATGCCTAAATGCTCTCAATTATTAGAGTATCTGAATATATGGTACATCCACCAATGGAATATCATGCAGCCCTAGAAATGAATGAAGATCTCTATGAACTCACATGAAGTGATTTCCAAGATACATGGTTAAGTAAAAATACAAACTCCGTCTCAAAAAAAAAAAAAAAAAAAATCTGTGTTTTTAACTTCAGTTATTTAAAATTAAAAGAATTTGTAAGCCATTTGGTCTGTGTTATTCTGTTATGGTTGCCTGAGCTAACTAAGGCAGATTTTGGCACTGAAAAGTGAGGTACTGCCATTACAAACAAACAAACAAAAAACTGAAAATGTGAAGCAGCTTTGAAATTGACAAATGAGTAGAGGCTATAAAAATTCCGATGTGCAAGCTGGAAATAATATTAGTAAGGGTGATTCTGGTGAGGTGTCACTGGGGAATGAGGAACATGCTATTGGAAAATGAAGAAAAGACAACCCTTGATATGAAGTCGTGAAGAACTTGGCAGAACTGTATTCTAGCATTTTGTGGAAAGTAGAGCTTGAGAGAGATAAAATTGGGTATTTATCACTAATATCTGTAATTAAAGTGTTAAAGGACACAGGAAGCTTCATTCTTCCTGACTGCTTACAGGAAAATGCAAAAGAGAAGACCTGAACTGCAGAAGAAATATAAAAGAAAACAGAACCAGAACTTGGAAGATTTGGAAAATTCTCAGCCTATCTGTACTGCAAAAATTACCAAACTTGTACTGAAGACAATCCTGAATGTGTGGCTGAACAATCATTTGATAAAGAGATCATCAGTGGGATTTATGGACTATATCAGCCATCTTAACAGAAGTGAGGAGAGATACTGGATTATACTAGAAGAGACACTGCCACTTACACTGTGCCACCTAAAATGGACAGAGAAGACAGAACAGGTAAGGCTGTCACACTTCGTAGATTTTATAAGAAGGAGACACAGAAATAATCACTGTGAAAGTGCACTGGCAGTTAAGGATGGTTTCATACCTGCCATGCTCTGCAGGATCTGTGGGAACAGAAGATACCCTTGGAGGAGCATCTTACTAACAGGGGCTGGGACCAATCTAGATGACTTATCTCATACAGAACTTGTTAATGCTATGATCTTAGGAATCTAATCACTAATGTGAGGCAGCCTGCAGTACTGACCTCACCATCCATGACCCTTCTTCACAGATGCCCAGACTCAGGCAACCATGAAGTTGTATTCAGAACCTGTAGGTATAATTTCAGACCCTCAGGATGGCATCCAAAGCCAATCCATGAGACATTACAACCTCCACAAGGCATTTAGGACAAATCTGATTATCTTTAGTGTCACTGCCAATAATTAAAGATGGCAACCTATGAGCTAAATGGTAACACTCATACCCTTACTTTCATAGGGTTTCTCCCCAGTGTGAATTCTTTCATTTCAAGTCTACTTAGGTGTGAGGAAACAGCAAATGCTTTCCCACATTCTTTACATATGAAGGGTTTCTCTCCGGTATGAGTTCGCAGGTGAACACTAAGGGGTGAGGAATACATAAATGCTTTACCACATATCTTGCATACAAAGGGCCTTTTTCCACTGTGAGTTTTCAAATGTTTACTATGATCAGAAGTAATGAAGGTCTTCCCACATTCAACACATTCATAAGGCTTCTCTCCTGTGTGAATTCTTCTATGTTGAGTAAGCGTTGAAGATCTATTGAAGGCTTTCCCACATTCCTTACACTGATAGGGTTTCTCTCCAGTGTGATTTCGTATGTGTATAGCAAGGCCTGTGTATTGAGTGAAGGCTTGGCCACATTCCTTACATTCATAGGGTTTTATTCCAGTGTGAGTTCTTACATGTTGAGTAAGGTGAGTTGATCTAGTGAAGGCTTTCCCACATTCTGTACATATGTGTGGTTTTATTCCAGTGTGAATCTGAACATGAACATTAACGGATGAGGAATTTCTAAAGGGTCTTCCACATTCTTTACATTCAAAGAACTTCTCTCCTTTATGAGTTTTCACATGTGCAGAAAGTTGAGAAAAATTAGTAGAGGATTTCCCACAATTCTTAGTCTTTTTAGATTTCTTTCCAGTATGAACTGTTACACACTGCTTTAGGTATGAGGAAGGTGTGATGGCTCTCCCACATTCCTGAAATTCACAGTTTCTCTCCAATGTGGATTCCCGTGTGATTATCAAGGCTCACAAAATACTTAAAGCCTTTTTTACATTCCTTACATTTGTATGGTTGTCTTCCATTGAGAATTCCAAGATGTACAGCAAGGCCTGGAGTTAAGGTGAAGACTTTTCCACATGGATTAAATTTGGAAAGTTCCTGTCCAATAGAGGCTTCCTTGTGCACACTGAGGACGTCTTTTCCGTAACAATTACCCTCAGAAGTGTTCCCTCCATTCTGAGCTCTCATGTGTGTCTTAAGGCAAAACTGTTCACTGAAGACCTCTCCACAATTCTCACAGAGTTTCCATCCACTGTAGCTCCTTGTCTGCTGAGGAGGGGATAAAGGATTTAAAATGTTTTCAGACATATTAAAAGATTTCACCCATCTGAACACGGAAACATTATTTTGGTGACAATTATCATTTTACTTTTTAATATTTAATTTTTTTTTCATTTCCTACCTTCTTGATTTCTTCCAGATTGAATGATGGATCTTTTGCTAGAATTTTATGCCACTGGCTCTAAATTATTTAAAAAACAAAAACAAAACAAAGCAAGAAAAACTGTCTTCTTTTAATTGTCGGGGGTGGTTTCAGACAAGTTCTCACTCTGTCATCTAGGCTGGGTACCATGGCACAATCACAGTGCACTGCGGTCTTAATCTCCCAGGCTCAAGTCATCATCCTGCCTCAGTGCTCCAAGGAGCTTGGAGTACAGTTGCATGCCAATGCACCCCGCTAATTTTTTATTTTTTGTAGAGACAGGGTCTTCCTGTTGCTCAGGCTGGTCTCGATCTCCTAGACTCAAGCAATTCTCCTGCTTCAGCTTCCCAAAGTGCTGGGATTACAGGCGTCAGCCACTGTACCCAACCAAATAGTGTAGATTTTACATTTTTAGTAGAGACAGAGTTTCACCATGTTGACCAGGCTGGACTTAAACTCCTGACCTCAAGTGATCCACCTACCTCAACCTCCCAAAGTACTGGGATTACAGGCATGAGCCACCACATCCAGCCTCTTTTTAAAATCAGAGATGGGATCTTGTTATACTGCCTAGACTGGTCTTGAACTATTGGGCTCAAATGATCCTCTCAGCTTAGCCTCCCAAGTAGCTGGGATTACAGAAGTAAGTCATAGCTCTGATGATGCTATTTCCTAGAATGGAATTATCAATCTTTTCTGAGAGGAAACTAAGAAATATCACTCATGAATCTTACCATTTGTATCCCATTGAATATTGGATTCTTCAAAAAACCCTGCTGAAGTGATGACCCTTTGATTCGAGGTTGTATTTCCCATTCTGAAGTTAAGCAGAAAAAGAAATATAAGGGTTTATAGAAGAAATGTTTAAAACAATGAGTCATTTGTATTTGTTTTCAAATTAAACACAGTAATAAAAGATAAGCTAGAGAACTTTGAGGATTTTGGCATGTCAAAAATTTGGCTATAAGGACGTGGGGTTTATTACACAACTGATGTGTTTAGATAGATTACTACAAACTGCTTCTGTGAAAAATAAAACGATGGGGAAAAGGAAGAGAAGATTATCAGGAAAGGAAAGTAGGAAAGATCGGGATAAATAATAGGTATCAAAATGATAAACTTTAAAAAAAAGACAGAACAGGTAGTTTTGTTAGGTCATAGAAATGTTTGACTACATAGAAAATAAAAGTCAGAGATATCTGAAATTCTGAGAAAAATAGCTTAAATCTTCTGAGGTAAAGTGGATCTTTAAAAATCTTTTTTTTAATTTTTTTTTTTTTTTTTTTTTTTTGAGATTTTCATTTTGTTGCACAGGCTGGAGTGCAGTGATGCAACCTCGGCTCACTGCAACCTCTGCCTCTGAGGTTCAACTGATTTTACTGCCTCAGCCTCCCAAGCGGCTGGGACTACAGGGATTGCCACCATACCCAGCTAATTTTCTGCATTTTTAGTAGAGAAGGGGATTCACTGTGTTAGCCAGGCTGGTCTTGATTTCTTGACCTCATGATCTGCCCACCTTGCCTTCCCAAAGTGCTGGGATTACAGGCGTGAGCCACCATGCCTGGCCTAGTCTTTATTTTTACGATTTTTTTTTTTTTTAAGAGACGAGGTCTCACAATATTGTCCATGCTACTATCAAACTCCCATGCTCAAGCACTTCTCTGACCTCAGCCTCCCAAGTATCTGGGACTACAGGTGCAGGCCACCATGCCAAGCAAAGTGATGTTACTCTTACCCACAGAGGCCAGATTCATGTAGTTCTCCAGCATCACATCTCTGTAAAGGTATTTCTCAGTTGTGTCCAGTAAAGCCCACTCCTCTGGGGTGAACTCCATAGCCACATCATCAAACGTCACTGAATCCTAAGTCATCACACACATGCTGGTTTGAGCCAATGAACACTTCCGCCAATGCTCACTGGAGAATAATGAAGGGGAAACTTATATTCACTTATATGTGGTTCTGAGATCTCCCAAGATATACTCCAGAATTTAATGTCTCAGGAACTCTTGTGTCTAAACAATCAAGGTGGACCTCCTACAGGCATATGCCTTGAACAGCACTTTAAAAATTTTTTTTTAAATCTTTTTTTGTTTGATCTATTTTTAATTTTTAAATATTTTTATTCTTAAATTTTAAATTTTTATTTTGATGAGAACAGTACTTCCTAAGCATGAATTTTTATCTATCTATCTATCCAATCTGTTTATTTATTTATATATAACGACAGGGTCCCACTGTGTCACACAGGCACAATTGCTGCTTACTGCAGCTTCGATCTCCTGGGCTGAAGTGCTCCTCCCACCTCTGCCTCCTGAGTAGTTGGAATTGCAGGCACGAGCCATTGCACACTGCTTACACTTTATCTCAGCACCACCAGGTTAGGAGCTCTTCCTGTCCCATTGGTCTCTATGCAGCACACTCCTGAGCACACTGCATATATCTGATAAATGCTGATAAGTGAATAACTTGATAAAAGGACACTTTCATCTGCTTTATCATCTGTCATCACACCCAGTAATGTAAAAAAGATGCAGTTGGTACCATCAAGGTCAAGCTTAAGTAGTAATTACTGAGCTACTGGGATGATTTTCAAGTTAACACTTTGTGTACAGGAGACTTCATTCTCTGGGGAAATTCATCTGGGGACTCAGTCCTTGAGTAAGGCTTCATTTGCTCTAAGAAAACTCCGGCCGGGCGCGGTGGCTCAAGCCTGTAATCCCAGCACTTTGGGAGGCCGAGACGGGCGGATCACGAGGTCAGGAGATCAACACCATCC